ACTTACTAAATATTACATAGTTACTGATACATTCCTGCTTTCTATTGACAATGTAACCAGAAGGAAGACTCCATAGTTTCACAGAGAATTGGAATGCCAAGTTCACTGCTGTGTTGCCAGCTCCTAGAATAGGCCCAGAACATAGTAAGCACTCAATAAATCTTTGCAGGAAGTAAGGATGAGAAGGGGAGGAGTTGACTAAGATTGTGATGCTGGCTGCCTGGTCAGTATTTCCTACTGCAATCACCTTGTGTGATTCTTACAATAGTCTCAGAGTAACTCCAAAAATTTCTAGTGTCATTTCTTGAAAAAGCTAAGGATCCTAGGTCTAGCTTTCCAAGTGCCTAGGTATGGGGCTAACTAAAATTAGTTATATAATTTTAACTGCACTCACAATACTTAGTACTTATTAAACATTTAACAGGGTCCAGCTCCTGGGTGGCAGATCACACCTGAAACCTCAGTACCCAGAAGGCAGGAGGTTTGCCACAAGTTTGAGGCCAGCTTGGGCCACATAGTGAGACCCATCTCAAAACAACAACAAATTGAGACTGGCCAAATGACTCAGTGGGTAAAGGCACTTGCTGCCAAGCCTGATAACCTGAGTTTGAGACCTGAGACCTGTTTAGTGAAGGAGAGAATCCACTCCCACAAGTTGTCTTCTGACCTTCACATGTGCCATATTAGTGCACATGTCCAATGAATAAATGTAAAGAAAAAAAGAGAGAGAGAAGAACAACAACAAACAAAATAGAACAAAACAAAACAGGATCCAGGCACTGAGCTGAGGCCTATCTCATTTTATCGCTATAATAGTGCTTTTTCATCTTAAGAGAAAGTATACACTGTATTTACATATGTAAGCCCTGTGGTCAGCTTGCCCAGATTAACATCTTGGATCTGTATTGACTTGATGTGTGGTCCCTCTCTGTTACTTGTCTGTAAAGAAGATACATTGTTAACTGTTCATCAATTACTGAGTCCTTTTGAATGCTAAATGGGATCATGCAAGTGAAGCAGTTGGCATGCAGTTTGACATGTGGTGAACATTTTTTAAAAGTCTTAGATGTCCTTAATTTCCAGAAAACCCAGGCTGAAAGCAGTTAAGCGCCTTGTGCAAGGTCACAAACAATTGAAAATAAGATTGGTGTTTAAACTTGGCGCTGTTCATCACCACAGGTTTTTCAACTAAACAGTATCTTCTGCCTTTTTTAGTCTAGCTCTCTGTTCAAAAGAGCCTTCAGGCAAGTAAGCACAGTGTAGGAAAGCACCAACTTCAGTACTAGTAGTCTCCTTTAAGACATCAGAGAAAGGGTTCAAGAATTTGTCCCAGAATTATTAAGGAGTTATGTGTTTGTAAATAGAGCCAGATTTGTTGATGGTGATTGTGGGAGGCATGGATGTTTATATTCTGCCTTGAAAAAGTTGCTCACTTTTTCATTTAATGGGTGATTAAATTAGGAAGAGAAAATAATTCTTCTAGAAGAAAATTTAAGAAATGCCTTTATGACTGGGTACCATGCAGAAATTTCTTAGAACATTAAGAACACAGGCCAAAAGTAAAGCAATAAACTGGACTTCATAAAATTGGGAATTTTTTTACTAAAAATGAAAATGAATGCCACAGAATGGGAACGGATCTGCAATGCTTACAAACCAACAAAGGAGTCTTACCCAGGCAATATGAAGAAAGGGACACACACACACATACAGAGAGAGAGAGAGAGAGAGAGAGAGAGAGAGAGAGACAGAGGCAGAGACAGAGAGACCAATAAAAAATGCCAAGTAACTCCATAAAAAAGAGATAATTGCCAGGTACCTCTTCACAAAAGAGGTAATTAAAATGGCCAATAAGATTTGCATATTTGTTTTTAAATCCAGCAAGCAGGAGTAGTTCTCAATATCCAAGGTAAGAAAATGCAGAAAGGTGAAATACTATTCTGTCTGACAGGATCAAGTGTAGATTAAGTATAGATCAAGTGTAAATAAGACAGTGTAGATAAGGATCATCCTGCTGAAATACAGAACATAGTCAACATAGTTCTGGTTCATTATGTAGAGGCAAGGTTGAAAGCACATGACAGTAACCCGCTTCATTCTAAATAAGAGGAACAAGAAGGCTTGAGAGGAGGTGCCAGTGAGCTGTGCGCTGACGGATGAGTGGGTTGCACTTCTGACTTGAGGGGCTTTAAAGGCAGCACTGTGGGTACCAGAAGGGGAAGGAGAACAATACAGAGGGGTCTCAGCAAGTCACCTGAAGTGCCTCTTCAATGGTTGGTGACATGGGAGTAAAAACCTCAGGGTTTCTCTGTGAGTACTCAAAGAGAAACATGATGGAAAGGGAGTTCTCCATCAGTTATCCCTCCATCTCCCAGTGGCAAAGGCCCTGCTCCTGTTGCACTCACACTCTGCAGTCCCTTCCAATTTCCAGCCAGGCCTTTGCTTTCAGGCACTGAAACAGAGACTCCTTTCCAGTCTCTGTTGTTCCTTATTTTCCTCAGGGGTCAGGGTTGAGCTTATACCGCTACAACTCACTTGGGTTTCCTTTTTACATCTTCAGCGAACTCACTCCCGGAGATCTTTAGTCTGCAGAAGCTTCGAGACAGACTGCATGCAGCTCATTTGTGTGAGACACAAAATGCTGCTCCTTTAAACAGCTTCAGTGTCAGCTTCACAAAAAGAATGAAAGTACTGTTGACCAGGTGGCAAGACTTCCCCAGCAGCCCCTTTGTCTGTGGTGAGAGTGCTCCATCATTCATTCCAGTGCAAAGCACAACAGCATCAGTGTTCTCAAAACTGTGAGTCATTTAGTGAACGTGAACAGATTTCAAAAGCAAACCATCACACCCACTGCAAGAGAAAATAATTTCCAAATGAATACTTTTTAATTCAAAATATTTTAAATTGTCACATATCAATTGTAGAGTTATAAGTTTCATAAAGACATTTTCATACATCATGTACTTTGGATTATATTCACCCTGGTGCCCTCCCTTTCCCCCTCTCTGGTGCCTTTCAGTTGCTCCAGACAATCACTGATGACACATATTACATTACAATTTTATGTATCTATGTATAATCCAGGCTCCACATATGAGATAAAACATGATAATTTTCTCTCTGAATCTGCTTATTTCTCTTAATAGAATGATCTTTAGTTGTAACCATTTTCCTGCAAATAACATAATTTCTTTCTTCTATATGACTGGATAAAGCTCTGTTTGTGTACGTTTTCCCTATCCATTCATTTATTGATGGACATCCATATTGATTCCATAGCTTGGCTATTGTGAACAGTGCTGCAGCAAACATAGACGTGTAAGTACAATTGTGATATGTTGACTTGGGTATATACCTAAGAGTGGTATTGCTGAATCATCTTTAGTTTTTTGATGAACTTACATACTCATTTCTATAGTGACTAGACTCATTCACATTCACTCTAGCATCTTTGCTAATATTTGTTGCTAACATTTGTTGCTATTTGTGTTCTCTTTTTTTTGTAGATTTGAGATTCATTTTATTTTTAATTATATTAATTGAATTATATGTATATGGTGGGAGATGAATGTCCACATGAGTGTACATACCCTCAGAGGCCAGAAGAAACTATCAGATCCCCTGGAGCTGGAGTTACAGGCAGTTGTAGGCTACCTGATATGGGTGCTGGGAACAAAACTCAGGTGCTCTGAAAGAGCAATACATGCTCTTAACCACTGAGCAATCTCTCCAGCTTCACCATTAGTTTTCTTAATAACAGTCATTTTGACTGGGGTGAGATGGAATCTCAGTATAGTTTCAATTTGCATTTCCCTGATGGTCAAAGATAGTAGATATTGTTTATATGTTTACTGGTCATTTTTACTTAATCTTTTGAGAAGTATTTGCTTATTTAATTACCCCATCTATTGCTTGGATTGTTGGACTTTTGGTATTTAGTGGGACTTTTTTAAAGCTTTTATATATTTTAGATATGAATCCTCTATCAGATATATAGCTAGCAAAGATTTTTCTCCTATTCTGTGTGCTGTTTCTTCACTTAATTCTTTCCTTTACTATGTAGAAGTTTCTAATTTCATGCAATCATTTGTCAGTACTTGGTCTTATGTCCTGAGCTCATGGAGTCCTTAGAAAGTTTTTGCTTATGTCTATAACTTGAAGTTTTTTCTCTATATTTTTCTCTAATAATTTCAGAGTCTCAGGTCTTACATTAAAATTTTTGATCCATTTGGAGTTGATTTTTTTTGTACAAGGTGAGAGATATAGATCTAGTTTCAATCTTCTACATCAATATCTAGTTTCCCAGCACCATTTGTTGAGGTTGTCTTTTTCCTATTGTATGTTTTGGGCATCTTTGTCCAATCAGGGTTAGTTTTCATAGTCCTGGAAGGCACTATGCAGGCTGCTGTGGAGGAAAGGGCATACCTAACTATGAATGGCATAAATTTGTAAGACTGATTTGACAAGCAAGCTGAGCTTACTGGTACCATAGTGGCACCACTGTAACCAGGGTAACCAACTGCTCTGTGATTAGATTTGAGACTCACTCCACAGGATGGCATCCATACCTAGTACTATAAATCTGGTTAAAAACCCAGGCTGGGAGATATCATAAACCCTAGAAGGGAACTAAATGCTGTTATTTAGCAAAATTGACATAACATCAAACTGCCTTCTGAGTATTATGTTTATACCCATAGATAAACACTACTCTCAGCCTTAATCAAAGAGGCTTCTCTTTCCAGTGAACAGTGGTGAATGGAGAGAGCTGTGGTTGGACAAGGTGTTAAGAATAAGTAATGGGTGAGTGCTCAGCCCTGAAAAAGATATTTACATCATCTTCTCTAAGGCTCAGGGAACAGTGGGGAAGAAGAGGTGGAGAATAAATTTGAAATGCAGGAGTCTGCACTAATGCAACACAGCCATTCAGTCACTAACTCACAGCAGCTGTGGATGTCTGCACTGGGTCTGCACAAGAATGGGCCCATTAACTGTCGGGCATGGATGGAGGAAGGGCTCAGGGGGCTCTACCCTTCACTGCTGAACTATTTGCTTCTAAGTCAGTTGTAGTAGAGTCAGTTCAGGAGGGTAAGTCAGCTCAGGGAGAGTGCCTTCAGTTGTGTACCCACTGGTGACCACACAGACTCAAAGGATAGTTCCAATCCAGTGCTCACACAGATGGCCTTGGTTAAGCTAGATGGGTCATAAAACAAAACCAAAAGTCATGAATGGGAGAAAGGGGCTGATAGGGATGGGAAGGGTTTGATATGGATGAGAGGGAGATAAGAAAATGTGTAGAGGAGCAAGTAATCAGGATATATTATATACATGTATATAACTGTCAAAGAACAAAATTATCCAATAAAAATAATCAAGTAGGGGCTGAAGAGATGGCTCAGTGGTCAAGAGCACTGGGTGTTCTTGGAGAGGACCTGGGTTCAAGTCCCAGAACCCACATAGCAGCTAACAACTATGTGTAACTCCAGTTCCAAGAGCTCCAACGCCCTCTTCTGACCTCCTCAGGCATTACACAACGTGGGTGCACTTACATACATGGAGGCAATACATTCATACACATAAAAATAAAAATAAAATAATCAAGTGGCTGTAGCTGTATGAGTTTATTTCCAGGTCTTCCATTCTATTCCATTGAACTACATGTCTTTTGTTGTTGTTGTTCCAGAACCATGCTGTTTTTATTAATATGGCTTTGTAGAATAACTTGAAATTAGGAAATACCTCCAACATTGTTATTTTTACTCAGGATTTCTTTGGCTATTTGGGGTCTTTTGTGCTTTCATAAAGATTTTAGAATTTTCTTCTATAAATTGAATTGCAAAGACACTGTCAACAAAGAATCAAGCACAGGCATATGATAGTTTTTTCGTAGTTCACTTTGAATTGTAAAGATAAGAGTAGACTGTTTTCTTCTTCCTCTCTCTCTCTCTCCTTCCTTCCTTCTTTTCTTTATTTCCTTCTCCTTATAAGTTACCTGTAAATCACAATGTATTTGTGGAAGTTCTCTAGAGAAACAAAACCAATAGAATGAATACACACACACACACACACACACACACACACACACAGTTCAAAGGGAAGATATTAGACTGGCTTATACAATATGGATTAGATAGTTCAACAGTGGTCCTCTGCATGCTAGAGAGGCTGAGAACCCAGTGGCTACACAGTCCATAAGGCCAGATGCCTCCCAATCTCATACTGAAGGCCTGAAGGATTCTTGGAGAGGTGCTGGTCTTTGGTCCACAATGGGAGGGCAAAGAAGATGGTTCCAATGTCAGTGAAGGAGGGCAACAGCAGGGGCAGCAACAGAGTAGATGCTATGGAGGGCAGATGAAGGCAGTATTGCTTCTCCCTTAGGCCTCTTTAAATCTGGGTCTACTCTGGGGAGTGTCTTCCCCCTCAGTTAATCCTTCCAGAAAATACCCTCACAGGCCTGCCCACAGTCATGTCTCTTGATGCCAGATCCAATCAAGTTGACAGCCAAGATGAACCATCACACACAATGACTTCCTTCCTCAACATTTTGTTGTGGTCTTGAAGAGGATAGCAGAAAGTGAGGGAAAACTACAAGGACTTACTACATCTTAATTGGATTCTTGAAGGAAAAACAATGTTGAAAAAGTTCATAAAAGTGTCCTAAATTTTTCAATAAACTTTCAAAACAGGCCCTCTGATTAATGTCCTCTCTTACGTCCCATATGACACTTGCTTCCCCAGATGGCTCTTAGATCAGTTAGATGATCAGTGTTTTCCCTGAAAAGCCTCAGACTGCCTCCTCTCCTCCCTATAGATGGTAGCATTGAAGGCAAAAATGTGTCCAATTTTAAAAGAGATGTTCTAGGAGTGCAGTGATCATGGCCTAAAGAGTCAGGAGAAGGCATGGTTGGAGCATGTGTTATTTTACACTTGTTGTATAAAATTGTGAATCTTAAATTGTGAATTTCATATGAGCCTAAAATGAATTACTGCTCTCATTTTCCTGAGTGCTCTGAGTAAGATTTGTGCTCATCATCAATAAATCATGATAACAATCTGGTAGAGAGTCACTGGGAACTGGGTCATGAGGAAGATAGAATCAGCAGGAAGGAACTGCTACTGAGGAACCGAAAAAAACAGATCTATCTTGCTTGTATACAAATAATTTGCAAAAAAATACAATATTGTGAGGAATAACTGTACTACCTTCTTTTTTGCTTGCAGTGGGAAATATAAATTATCTAGGATTCCCATGTTTAACTACAAAGAGCATGAAGGCACATAGCTCATGGACCTGACCAGGAGAGGTGGGACCTGAGCACTGTGAAATCTCTTCATGCCCTGAGTTCCTCTCCTTACCTGCTTTTTGAAGCTTTATTAGGTAATCATCTTTCATGGGCCCGTAAATATTTATTTGTTTGTTTGTTCAGTTAGTTGATTAGTTAGTTAGGTAGGTAGGTAGATAGGTAGATAGGTAGGTAGTTTTTGAGTTAGGGTCTCATTTTGTAACTTAGTCTGTCCCCACACTCATGATCCTCCTGCCTTAGAAATCTACCCACTCCCAAAGTACTGGGATTGTAGGCATGTACTATCACCTAGTTCATAAATTTTGTAATACATTTATACAGATAGCCCCCCTCTACTATGTACCCATGGGCTGAACCATCCTAGAGCCAGCCCTGCCAAGACCTTCACCACATATCCTTTGATCTCTTGTAATAACAAGTGAATAAGTCTATGCTTTTTAATCTCTGTGTTTTCTAGTACATCTCTCAAATTGTCAGAGTGTAAATCTGACCAAGATTTTCCTTCTTAAAAACCCTACCTAGGGAAGCAAATAAGAATTTCTTGGCTTGGTATATAACTTCTTTTTAGTTCTGCCCCTTCCCGTTCCTTTTAATCTCCCCTTTACAACACCCCACAGCCACTCCATATTCTAACCATACAATTAGCAATTTTCAGAATCCTCAGGGCACTAAGTATTTTTCCCACTCTTTCTGTATTAGTCAGCTCTCTGTGACTATTAAAAAAAAACTCATAAGGGAAAGGTTTACTGTGGCCACAGTTTGGGAAGTTTCAGTTCACGATTAGTTGGCTCTGTTGTTTGAGGCAATATCATGACTGGAGTGTGTGGCATAGCAAAACCACTATCATCACGGCTGCAGTGGGGGTGGACACAGAGTGGGATCCCACTATCTTCTTCAAGGGTGCATCCTCAATAATCTGAACATCTCCTATTAGGCCCTACCTCCCCAAAACTCCACCATCTCCCGATAGCATCATCAGGGGAGAAAGAGCCTTTACCACGTGCACCTCTAGGGGCCGCTCAGCATTCCCTTAGTATTGCTTGGTTTCCTCAGTGATTCCTGCATGTCTATCAAGGCTTACTCAGACTTACACCACCCCACTCACACCTTCTTCTGCCTCACTTCTCACAGGGAGAAGGAAAGAAAAAAAGCTATCCAGGTGCTGGATAGCTTCAGTTGTCAATTTGACACACCTGGATGAAGAGAACCTCAATTGAGGAATTGTCTCCATTTGACTGGCTTGTGGCCATGGCTGTGGGGCATTTTCTTGATTGCTGAATGATGTGGGAGGGTACCTGTGCAGCAGGTTTCTGTCTTGAGTTCTGCCTTTAGCTTCCCTTGGTGATGGACTGTGAGCTGTAAGCCAAATAAACCCTTTCCTCCCCAAGTTGGCTTTGGTGGGTGTTTCCATGGAGGAACGCTGCTTACAGGCTTGCTCCTCTGGCCCCTGCTCAGCCTTCTTTCTTATGGAATACAGGACCACCTCTCCAGGGGTGGCACCACTCACAGTGGACTAGGTCTTCCCACATCAACTCAACAATCAAGAAAATACCCCACAGTCATGGCCACAAGCCACTCCAATGGAGATAATTCCTCAATGAGGTTCCCTCTGACCAGGTGTGTCAAGTTGACAACTAAAGCAATACAGTACAAATAGGAAGCTGTTGGATGACTCCCTCATGAATTATGCCTCCAAAATTTCACACCATATAGCCCCATCCTACTCCTAAACTGAGCTAGCTCTACATTAGGCCTGCTCTAGGTCAAAGTCACAGAAGGTATGGCAACTTCTGTTTCAGTGCTTTGGAAATCCCTGAGTAATATATTAGATGCTCAGCTATTCTGCTGCAGAGACCATTAAAGGAGGCCAGACAGAAAAAAGGAATCCCAAAACCATATGGTAATAGAAAAAGAGTGAGTCATCAGTAGCCCAGCTGAGTCCAGCCTCTATCTGTCCTTGCCAATGGGCCAGGCATGTGGATGAACCATCTTAGCTATTCCCTCTCCTTCTATAGCTGCATGAGAGCCCTGTAAAAAATCCACCTGAGTCCAGTCAATCCACAGAATCATGAGAAATGAGAATGTTCATCCAAGCTACTAAGTTAACTGATAAGTAAACCAAGGCTGACTAGGTGAGAGCAGATCTTAGCATCCATTCTATGACGATGTCAAGTAGAGGATGTACAGCAACTGTTAGCATGATCCATGTTTGCTATCATGAGGCAGAACTCAGCCTACATAGATGGGCAGAGGGTGACGAGACATCTAGCAAGGTGCTGCATACATGCTTGTTGACCTAGACAAACTTTCTTAGTCCCTAGCACCAAATCAGTCTCCACTCTGGCTCAAAAGAGGTAAAAATGAACAATTTCAGTGTGACCTCTACCCATAGCTGGGACAGGCAGTAAGGGAAGGCAGCCATCCAGCTGGCAAAAAGGTGCAAGACAGGAAGCCAATATCTGATTAGATGCCATAACAGAAATGGCTAGACCTGATTACCAGCTAGTCCTTTGCACTTCCTGTCAAGGGCACAGATTCCATGCCAGCTAATTTGGCCTTATTCCACCACCACAGACCAAACCTTTAACCCCAGCCAGCTGTCCAATTTGGATGTCCTCCACTAGCCTTGGAAAATGTAGAACAAGACACAATGTCCATCACATAGCTTTTCTCAGGAAAACGTGCTGAGCAAGCCCATCTGTAATAGTAGCATCATCAGAACAATAACTGTGTCCTGACATTCATCCACTCATCTCCTTCCTCTCTGTACACCTTCCCAAATTTATCCCTCTATTTCAATTTCCTATTTTCATTAGAGGGGCTAGTTGTTTCTCCCCAGTCCCTTGGGTTTAAAGCTTTGACATCATTCCATCATTTCTGATGTCTCTCTTTTATAAATACAAATATTTTTATTTTATGTATATGAGTGTATTGCCTGTATGTATGTGAGTGCACCCATGTTGTGCAATGCCACAGAGGTCAGAAGAGGTTGTTGGATTCCCCTGAAACTGGAGTCAAGGACTCCATGTGGGTGCTGGGAATTGAACCCGTATCCTCTGCAAGAGCAGTTGGTGCTCTTAACCACTGAGCCCTCTCTCCAGCCCCTTGTGCATCTCTTTCACTGAAGACTGGTGCATGAACTCTCTCTCTGGTCTATTCGCTCCCTGTAGCCCCACCTGGCCTGGAACTCACTTGAACTCACAGAGATCTGCCTGCCTCTGCCTCCCGAGTGCTGGGATTAAAGGTGTGTGCCATCACGCCCGGTGTGATGTCTTTATTCATCTCTACACCTAAGCCAAGTCTTTCAATGAAGCCTTTATCTCACTTGGCTTTTGTGTTTTTTGTGTGTGTGTTGGAGATAGGATTTCACTATATAGCCCAGACTGGTCTCAAACTTAACATCCCATGTCAGCCACTTCACTGTTAGGAGTATGGATATGTGCCACCAGACCTGGCTTGATCTTATTATTATTATTATTATTATTACACTTTTAGTTGGCACACACAACATTATGACAACTTCATGCATATATATCATCATACCTTGCTCATACTCTCCCATTGATTTTACTCCTGAAACATTTTTGGCACTTCTGCTCTATCTTATTTCTGAAGTTCAAGAGTGGGTATACATAACTCTTACAGAGAGAGTTCCAGTACTTCTTAGTGAGTAGCACAACCTCCAGCCTCCTGTTGTCCTCCAGCCCAACTTTCACCTTCCTGATGGAATAATTTTTGAAAAATATGTTCTGATGACACTATTTTCCAGCTCATAAGCCATCAAAAATGTTCTAATATCTTCTGAGGCTTACAATTTCAAGAATGTTTAGGTAATTTAAGAATGTGACGTGGCTCAGTGTAAGAAAACAGAGTTGCATGGTTCCTCCAGCAAGCACAGAGCATGAATCCTGGTAAAGACATTTACAGTCCTTAACTACTGTCCTGACCAAACCACATTCCACAAAACAAAAGCCAATACCTTCTGTCTAACCTTTAAAGCTTCCCATGACAGGCTTCCAACACAGAGCTTTCAAATGCCACTGTATAGCATGTGTGATGTGTGATGACATGTATATGACACACTGTCCCATTCCTGATCAGGAAAGAGATTGCCATGATTCATAGTCCTCTTTACTGTTCGACTCAGTACACCCTCAGGATCCTCCTCAACACAGCCTTCAGAGAGCAGCTACAGACTGGTGAGCCTAACATACTCATTAACAGCAATTTGCCATTGTGTGCTGGCTTATTATCTGATTAAGACCAGCCACTGAACTGTGCTCACCATAAGGACCAGAATACTTTGGCATAATTTTTCTCTGACACTCACTCAGCCCCCTCATTGGCTGCTGTACTATGGGCTCAGTCTCACGTTAGGTGAGCAGCACCGCCCGTCTTCAGAGTTCATGTCAGACGACTGATCCTGATTCTGGTAGGTTGCTCCAAAGGAAGGTTTAGATGAAAGCCCCATCTTAGCTAATGCATATTTCTTGAAAGTCTCTGATCCCCACATCCCAGTAGGGGAAGCACAAGATCAAATGCTGGACTCTGATCCCAGTGACCTCCCCAACACTGTTGCTTTAGGCTAACTCACTTGCAGCCTAGCTGGTCCCCAGCATCCTGGTTTGTAGGGATCTTTTGCTGATATCTATTCAGCATTCAGTCTATTCTGTAGATGCATGCAGTTGGCCCCGCAGTGTGTGAAGTATGTGGGAGGTGTAGCTATGGCCATAACAGGAACAGTGTGGGGCAAGATTCCCCATTTGAGGGTTTGTTCCACTCTGTAGACATTGCTTCAAGGACTTGGGGTCAGCTTCCCTTTTTCTCACAGAATCAAAGCAAAAAAGATCAGTTTTCCTCTTTGCTTGGAAGGCTTTCATACCTTCTTCTAAATCAACTGACCTTATTTTTAGCCTAAAGGAGAAAGTAAGACAGATACTAATAATAACACACATACTAACTCAGAACCTCAAGGGAGAGGGATGGGGAAAGAGAAATTTATTTCATGATGTATTTAATGCAGTCAGTTGGTCCTTATTTTTGATCCTCTTCAGAGTCTTCACCCTGGTACCTGAGCAGTGGACATCACACCTGTTTGATGTGGACATCATATCCTAATACAGACTTGACTATAGCAACATTGGACACGACAAAGGAAGGCTGCTTCCTCTGTCATTCTAAATGCAGCTCTGATTTTCTATCTAGGTTGACATGTTTCCTGCAAAGCTTTAGAATGGGGTCACGAGGGCAGCCATAGCTAGAGATGCAACAGTGTGGTGTTTTCCGCTGCTGTACTGCAACTGAGAGCCCAGACCTCACAGACACCCATGGTCTTAACTACTGAGAATCTTTTGTCTTTTAAGAATTCCTGTTGTTTTGGGCCATTGAGATGACTCAGGGAGTTAACAGCACTTTCCACACAAGCCTGATGACCTGAGTTCAATCCCTGGAACCCATGGTGGAAGGAGAGAACACATTGACAAAAGTTCTCCTCTGACCTTGTGTGTACCCTTGGCACCCACTAATAATAATGATAACAAATTTTTAAAAAGTCTATCATTTTATGAACTGCTTTATTTAATACTAAACTGTTAAGGACTAAATAGTTATGTCCCTTTCGTATTCATGTGTTGAAATCCAGGTGATGATATTAGAGGTGGGGCCTTTGGGACATCACAGTCATAAGGATACAGCCTCTATGAATGGGAACTGACATAAAGGAAACATCTCTCTCCATCATGGGAGAATATCATCATGGGAGGAAGATGGCCACCTATAAATCAGAAGTGTCACTAGACCCTGAATCTGCCAGCACGTTGATCTTGAACTGCAGAACTCTGAAGGAGAAATATCAATTCTGAGCCACCCAGTCTACTATAATTTGTGATATCAAGCCAGGTGAGTAGAAACAAACTCCCAAAGGAATAAGGTACACTTGAAGAGAAGGGATGAGGGAAAATCCATGCTAAGGACCACTTCTAAAGGCTCTTTTCTAGGCTGAGTGATTACTGCCATCTACACAAGAGTTTGAGGGGGTGCCTCACACATTTGAGGATCTCCCAGCAAAAAAAGAATGTGTTTGAGAATCTCCTAGCACAAAACAATGTATTTGAGAATCTCCTAGCAAAAAAGAATGTGTTTGTGTCAGCTTTTACTTTTAATAAAGACAAAAACACTTAATGTGACAGTGTTGGTAACTGGGGTAGCTTCGTGCAAAGGCAGACCCTAATGACAATAAACCCTCAGAACCACCCACATTTCACCAAAAGTGAGTCCATCACTGACAGTTCACCTCAGCTGTTGACTGTAGGGCCACCCTTCTCTGGAGCCTGCTGTGGCTCAGGGCATATACACTTTCTCCCTAGGGCAGATGTCCAAGTACAGAATGCTCTTCAGCATCAAGCACTCCCAAGCACTCACGAAAGATTTTTAAAGATCATTTTAGTTTTCAGTAACCATTTCCACTGTTGAAACTGTTTTTTTTTTTTTCAGAAAATACTGTAAGGTCCCACCATAACACCACCACATCATCACTCATAAGGTAAATCTATTAATGTAATACACCATGATAATGAGTCATGCCTCAAACAGCCTCCCAGTGTAGAATGTAAAGGTTAAGAAGACAGTGGCTGGGTAAGAGAGACAGAGAAGTATGATATTTAACACAAGGTCTACAGAGATGTGTGGCATTAACACAAGGTCCTCAAACAATGATCTAGTAAGAATGTTGGAAAACTGACAGCATTATATCTCTCTCCTGATCATGAGAAGGATTTTAGTTTCTTCATTTTGCTAAGAAATATGAATATCTTAGAAAGGCTTTCTAAAAATCAGAATATACTATGAAGAAATCATTTAGAAAAATCTTAGCAAAAAGGCAGTAATCCATAATCACATGAGATTTCTTGAGAGGCATTATCAGTCAATCTCGATACTACTAATTTTCTCAAGGCCACCTTTGATGTCCCTCATCGTTCAATTTATTGCTCAGCAGACATTAAGGTTTCTTGTCTCCTGCCATGTATAAAGTTATAGTATATCTCCTGTGTCCTGTCTTTGTCCTTTTCCCCCGAATGTTGCTTTAAATGGCAGGCCAGGGCACAAGCTATGTGAAGATCTCTGAGTTACTTTGAATTTGGGGCTGTAAATAAATCATAAATGTTTCACGTCATTCTTGAATTATTCATTTTGCTTGTGCTTTCTATAGAACACTGCACATCAAAATCAGATCCCAAGTACTGTCATCTTAGGGGGTTTCTTATCATTCCAGTGCCTGGTTATTAAACCTTGCAAAAAGACAAATCTATGTCTATATAAAGGTTAAGCCCTAGGAGAAGTACCAGCCTCCCCGGTGCCTGTCAATGACACAGAGAACAAGAGGAGCTCAAAGAAAGAGAGTCCTAATGTCACAGAGCTGCATGTTTTACTATTTGAAATGGAAAACACTTTTTCATAATGTGCACTTTTCTCTTTGGTCTTGCAGACCAATATATGGCTGTCTAATAGCATTTTTCCTCTTTCATAAACAGAGCAATATCTCAAATTCCAAAACTTCATTTATAACTTGTTTATTTGCAACAAACTAAACATATTATCCCAAGGAAACAGGTAAGTAGTTCTGTCCCCAGGTTAGCTCACAGACTGCTACCTCACAGGGTACCATAAACACAAGTCAAATGACAACCTAGAAAGTCATCAGAGAGATGTATACTTCTTTGGACAACCATGTTCAGGGTTTCAACCTGGAACAGGACCAGATCTTTTCATTGCTCCTTTGGTCCTGTCTTCCTCACCTATTCCCCAGATTTCCCAGTTGAGCCAGGGCTTGGAAGAAGGGAAACAACAAGGAGAGAGACATGTGGGGTGTGTATCCATGTGGACAGATGATTACTAATTCTAGAGGTGTGTGAATTAAACATCATGTTTCGTGTATGTTTTGAGTACACATGTTTTATAGCGAGGTAGTCTATTCAATTAGATTCTTTTTTATTGTTTTTTATTTAAAAACTTAAAAAATATTTTATTCATTATTTTTATTTTATGTGTATGAGTGTTATGTCTGCATCTATGAAAGTGTAACCGTGTCATGCAATGCCCTCGGAAGACAGAAGAAGCTGTCAGATCCCCTGGAACTGGAGTTACAAATGGTTGTTAGTCACCATGTGGGCACTGGGAACCAAACCAGGGTCCTCTGCAAGAGGAGCCAGTGCTCTTAACTGCTGAGCCATCTCTCCAGCCCCACTAGATTGTTTTTTAAAGATTTATTTATTTTTTATTTGTGTATTAGTGTCTTGCCTGCATGTATATGCATGTGCTCCATATGTGTGCCTGGTGCTTATGGAGCCCATAAGAGGTGTCTGATTCCCTGGAACTGGAGTTACAGATGGTCACCATCTGGGTGCTGGGAACCAACCCTAGGTCTTCTGCAAGAGAGACTCTTAACTGCTAAGCCATCTCTCTAGCCCTCCATTAGGTTTTAAAAGGGTCTCAGATACCCAGACTTGAATTAAAATTGGGAATCACCATGCTGGTAGGGACAAAGAAGGCACTGGTGGTAATTCTCACCAGTACATTCCCACAGTGTCATTTCTCCATCCTACACAATCCCCTGAGATATTCAGAATAAATGGTAAGGTTCTCTTATTTTTGTGGACTCCACCAGTACCAGATTTTTACATCAAAGCTCTCCTCTCTGCTGGCCCTAGGGCATTTTCTTACAGGTCTTGCTGTCTATGAAGAAAGGGATGATGACCCAGAAGTAAAGACCTCTCTCTCTTTCTCTCTCTCTCTCTCTCCTCTCCTTCTCTCTCTCTCCTCTCCTTTACCTTTTCCTCTCTCTCTCAGCCACAGAGACATGTTCTTTTCTTACAGATGTAGTAAAATAGAGAAAATTATTGGAAGTGACTCTAGCTCCATCAAATGCTATTTTTGAAAGGAAGAATGTAAAGCCTGAAAGAGAAGCTGAGAGTATGTGCGAGGGGGTGTGAGCGAGGAGAGGGAGACATGTCAACTAAGCTAATCAGCGTGCATGAACTAACAGAGAAACCAAGAGTCAGAGACAAAAAAGGATGGAGAAAGAGAAAGGAGAACGCAATTCACAGAATATTTAGCATTAGAATAGGAATTTTTTATTATCAGAAGAAGCTTTCAAAACAAAATAAAACAACAGCCTCATAAAGTTAAACACACAAGCAAACACACCGTAGTTTGGTCTCTGGAGCTCTTCTGGAAATCAGGATGAGAGCACACTCATGGTGTAAACACCTCAGGACACTCCAGGGTTTACACTGCCTGCCTTGAACTTCTTTTGTTTCCCTCTGGCGACCATAGTCAGCCAGGGCTGACAATGACATGTGGAAAGATGAAGCAGGAAAGGAATTGTTGAGACAGAGAAACCATGTTTTATAAACAATATTCTAGAACTTCTAAAGTCAGGGCAAAAGAAGTTCTAGAGTTTTGTACTAAAAACATCTGAGTAGAGACTACAATATCCCAGCTTATTTGCAATTTCTCTTTCCAAAGTTTTGAGATCAACCATAATCCAAAAATAATAAACAGAAAGTTCTAGAACTGAAAAAAAAATGTGAGTTTAAAAATCACATACCATTCTGAGTAGTGTGGGAAATTTCCTGCTGTCCTGCTCTGTCCACCTGGACGTGAATTTCTTTCTTCTTTTTAAAAAAATATTTTATTACTTTAAAAAAATTTGTGTGTATGAATGTATTTCCCGCATGTGTTTAAGTACACCCATGTAGTACAATGCCCATGGAGGTCAGAAGAACGTGTTGGATTCTTCTGGAACTGGAGTTACAGAAATTTGTTAATCACCATGTGGGTGCTGGGAATCGAACCCAGCTTGTCTGCAAGAACAACCAGTGCTCTTAACTGCTGAGCCATCTTTCCAGCCCCATGAATTATTTCTTTATCTTGCAAATCCAAGCAGCATATGCTATGTCCCCCTGGTCACTTAGTAGACACTTGCTTGTCAGAGCAATAGCAAAGGTATCACAAAGCCTGTGTGCAAGGGACCCTGATTTTATATAGCATAGCCCTAAAGCGCAACACCAGTGACACTGGCAATTCAGATAGTTTAAGAGGATCTGGAAAGTGCTTCCTTTAAGCAAAGAAGAGTCACAAAAAGACAAAGAAAAAAAGTCATATGCTGAGACTGTAAAAGTCTACAGTAAAAACAAATCTCTCTTTGAAATTGTGCTAAACTTGTGCTGGCTTTTCTGCTTGCACCTCAAACTACAAAAGAGTCATGGTATGTGACAAATACCTACTTATTAAGGAAGAGACACTGTTTGTATATGTATTGTACCAGTTAGCTTTCTAGTGGCTGTGACAGAAAGCCTGACATAAAAAAGACAGGAAAGTTTTACTTTTGCTCTCAGTTGGAAAAGTTTCAATCCTCCCTTGCAGAGAGGGCATGGTCAAGCAGCTCACAGCAAGACAGACAGGAAGCAGAGCAGTGCAGTAACAGGAAGTAGCCAGTGAGGCAAAATAGAAAGGGAAGATTAAGGGGATATCAAGACTTCCAGCACAATTAATATTGCTGTGCAGGTTGTGGACATAGAAACAATATTCTTTTTGCATATTGATGTTCAAATAAGAATGTTAAATAGCAACGAATTGTGCTTAATGCCTAAGCCTTTCTCCGTTCCCAGCTGTAAACCTACAATTTTCTAGAAATCTTACTAGAAACCCAATTTACAGTAAAGATCATGTCTTATCTCTCTTATGGCCCATGGTGTTCAACTTACTAGATTACAACCTTATCTGATGAACCTCCCTAGCCACTTTATAATCTCATTTATCAAATGAAGAAAAGGGGAGAAAAAGTTTTATAGCAACCCTTTGAGATGTAACTTGAAAGCCACCAAAATCATATATAAGGTCATCACTAAGACACTTAAGCACGCACAAGTATTCTTTGAGAAGCTGACACCCATGTTCTTGTGTAAGTTTTGTTCTTTGTGTTCTTTGTGTAAGTTTGTAAGAGCGACACTCTTTCATTAACCCTTGCACTTAAATCTAAGTTTACAATCTCCTTTTAAAAAGCTCCAACTCTGCTTGACATTGGTTTGTCCTGAAATTTCTTCCTGCAGAAAAGTCAAGGATCTGAGGTAGCCTCTAAAGGACAAGGGAACTCCTCAAACTGAGCTGCTGTGGCAGTTCTTGGCTATCTTCTGCTACCCTGCCACTGCCACCAGAACAAGATACAGTCCCTATGGGCATGGACCCATGACTTTCTTCCCCTAGTCAGGCCCCACCTTATACAATTTCACCACCTCCCAATAGTCTGTTCAGTCCATCCATGGATTAAGCCATTCATCAGGTCAGAGTCCTCATGATCTAATCCTTTCTAGAAACATTCTCATAAGAATACCCAGGAGTGTGTTTTGCTAGTCTCCTAGGTGTTTTTCAATCCAACTGAGTTGACAGTCCAGAATAACCTCTGTGTGTGTGTGTGTGTGTGTGTGTGTGTGTGTGTGTGAATAAACACTATGTTATATAGGGTTAAGGATTCTCCACAGTTGG